CCGGAGTCCCGGGACCACCAGCCCTTGCAGACCGCCGCCGCGCCCCCCGCTCCCGGAACCGGCGCCGGCCGCCACCTTCCGAGAGCTTGAATGAACTGAGGGCGGAAAATGAGGGGGCGCGGTTAGGCTTGGCTCCGCCCCCCAGGTTCCCGCAGTGGGGTCGTGGGGCCTTCACGTCGGCGTCCTCTGGACGGCTGAGCCCCGGGAATCCTGAGGCCGGTCGCCTCCTCCTCCTCCTGCCTGAGCGGAGAGTCGCCTCCCGCGCCCGGGGGCGCGGGCGGGGTGGGGCGCTCCCCTAGGATACCGGGTAGTTGCTGTTTTACATTTGGTTGTCGCAGTCGAGTGATTTGTGAAAAAGTGCTTTATAAACTGTGAACGCTGTGCAAAGGTCAGGAAAGGTAACTCCTGTATGGAGTTGATTTGGGGAATGAAAACTTGAAAGTTCGGAGAGATCCGCAATGCCACTTTGATGTTTGTTTGCTATTCAGTAACTCCTGGATGCAAAAGTGCATCAAAATATTTTAGAAGGACTTTCAACATAGGTTAAAATACGGATGGTTAGCCAGAAAAGTCACATTCTGCGAATATTTTGGTTAATGGAAGTTTTGCTATGACAATAATTATTACCCGCTAACGTTCAAGTGTAAGAATACCAACAAGAAATCAAACCATTACAGATGTTTTCAGAGGGAAGGGATCCAGCACCTCAATGGACAGGTGGAGGGGTCAAATCCAGAGGAAGGGTAGCCATTGGAAAGGGTCAGCGAAGTAGTGAGAAAGAGCAAAATCCCCGTAGCCTTCTGAGAGAACTTCGTAAGCCTTAATTTTCTCGTCTTTAAAACCATAAAACCTATGTCATGGGGTTGTTATGAGGTCTGAAAGCAATGATATGTTTAAAGCTCTCAGCACGTGCCTGGCAAACAATGGATCCAAATAATGTTAGCTGATATTATTAAGAACAGCCTGTGAACTCAGGGAGTTGATAGACTTTGTTCTGTTGTAGGCCAGAGTCACCAAACTTTTCTGTAAGTGACCAGGTAACTAAATATTGTGGGCTTTTCAGGCAATACAATCTATGTTGCAACTACTGGACTCTGCCATGTAGAGGAAAGCACACACCAACAAAAGTAACCAGATGGCTGTGCTGTGTACCAAGAAAAATTTATTTGCAGAAACAAGTGGAATTTGGGCCACAGAACATAGTTTGCCAACCCTTGGTCTACAGTCATAATTGAAGAAAATACTAAATTTTAGTTAGAGGTTAATGAAGACACAGATGTTCTTTTTTCCCATGGTAGTCAAAGACTTCCTGAATTGTATTTCTTTTTTTTTTTTTTTCTGTGAGGAAGATCAGCCCTGAGCTAACATCCATGCCAAACCTCCTCTTTTTGCTGAGGAAGACTGGCCCTGAGCTAACACCTGTGCCCATCTTCCTCCACTTTATATGGGATGCCGCCACAGCATGGCTTGACAAGCCCTGTGTCAGAGCGCGCATGGGATCCAAACCCCGGCCGCCAGCAACTGAGCGAGCGCACTTAACCACTATGCCCTGGGGCCAGCCCCTGAATAGTATTTCTTAATAAGATGTTTTTTAAAAGACAAAATTTCTTAAACAGTAGAATGAATTTTTATTTTATTGTTAGCTTTTTTGGGGGTGGGGTGGATGTCTTATTTAAGAAATCCTTCCCTGCCCAAGGTCTAAGAGCGATTTACCTAAATTTTCTACTAAGAGTATTAACATTTTGTTTTTGACATTTCTTATCCCAATAGAATCGGTTTTCTTGAATGGTATAAGGTAGGAATGCAATTACTTCTTTTTCCTTATGAATCCAGAACCATTTTTCCAGCTCCATGTATTGCATAGTCACTCTTTTCCTCGATTGGTCTGACATATCACCTCTGTCCTATATACATCTTCCATGTGGACGTATGTCTATGTCTGGGTTTGCTATTCTGCTCCATTTGGTTGGTCAGTTTGTCCATCGCTGCACCAATACCACAAGGTCTTAATTGTTGTAGCTTCATAATAAGTCATGGTATCTAGTGGGCAAGTCTTCCCCTCCGTGTTCTTTTCCAGAAGTGCCCTGGTCATTCTTGGACTTTACACTTTCACATAAATTTTAAAATCTGATTATCGAGTACCATGAAAAACTCTTTTAGGATTTTGATTGGAATCACAATGAATCTATAGGGCACTTTGGGAAGAAATGACATCTTTATGAATATTAAATCTTCCTATCCGATGAACATGGTGTATCTCTATTTAGATCTCCTGCAAAAATGGGCTCTGTTTCCTCCTTTTCTGTCTTATGCTTCTAATTTATTTTTCTTATTGCATCAGCTAAGACCTCCAATACGATGTTGAATAGAAATGGTTATAGTGGCATACTTCTCCCATTCCAGATTTTTAAGAGAAGGTACTAATGTTTCCCCATGGAGATATTGTTTACTTTAGGTGTTCAGTAGCTACTCTTTATCATGGAAATTTCCTTGCTTTTCTGATTTACAAATTTTTTAAATTATGAATTTAAATGAAATTTTATCATATTTTTTTCATCTATTGAAACAATTGTATTTTTTCCCTCTAATATGTGTAGTGAGTTTCCTTTGTTGAGTTTTCTAATAAAATCATCTTTGCATACATAGGATAAATCTACCTTGGTCATAGTTTATTATCTCTTTATGCCAGTCGTATCCAATTTGCAAATATTTTCTCTAGGATTTTTATATCTACATTTTTCTTTTTCATAATGGTTTGGTTTTGATATCAGTGTTACACAAGCTTTACAAAGTGAGTTGGAGAGGACTAGCTCTTCTTCAGTTGTTTGGAAGAGTTTGTGTAGGGTGGGGGTAATTCGTTCCT